AAACAATACAATACAATACAAGAGAACTGAAATGTGGGGCAGAACCTGAACTTCCCATGAGTATTATATGACCATTTTCATTGACAGTTTACAAAAAAAAAGTGATCTGTAAAAATAATTTTATCCTAACTCCAAAACCATTTAAATAAGCCTACTAAAAATAAAGTCAGATGAACAAGTCACTAGCTGATAAACCTACATGTGGTTAATAACAGCCACAGTTTTATTCAAATGTGGTTAGGAACGACCACAATCTCTGAACTCCGAACAGTGCACTATAAAACCTGTAGATGAGCATGTATTCTTCCTGACTGAATGTTTGGCCGTGCAGAGGATCAAGGAAAAAAATGTCATGCTCTCCTGGGTTCATAATCTGTTGATATGTCACAATATATACACAGAAAGAAGACGACAGCAGTTTACAGATCAAAAAGTATCTAAAAATTATGCAGACATAAGTTATCCCAGATATTCAGAATTATCAGAATTACTTACACAAACCATCCAATGTCCTGGTATCCATGTTGGGAAGATAAACCAGTCATCCAGCTCATCCAGCTTGAAAACAAATAATATTGGTCATCACCAAAATTTGGAAACTGTGTGTCTGGGTTTCATATTAAACAGAACCGACTATAATACATACAGGCAGGTGTAGAAGGTGCTCTTCAAGTGTCCTGTTTGGCCATGTTGCAATTTGATATGAATTGGCCGAAAAAACATTCACATTCTGTATGGAAAATTTAACACTTTAATCTAACCGAAGGCAAAATTAATGGGGACCAGCAACTGTTTGGTTACCAGTCATTGTCTTCATCTTTTGTGTGAACTCCAAACACAAAAGATAAAGACAAACTCATACTGGTTTGGAACAACTTGAGGGTGAGTATTTAACATCCATAATGATGAATATCTAGGCTGCACAGACAGCTGTAGAGAGTGAGTAAATGATGACAATGTTCATTTTGGGTGAATCCCTTTAAGCGGCTTAAGTAATTTGAGCACAAAATATAGACTATTTCAACTGTGATTTTGCTATGGTCTCTACAACTTTCAGGCAACAGTTGAGAACCTGCGTTAAAATAAAACAGAAAATCAATATAAACAACATTCACCATTAATTGCTATATTCAAATATAATGTCTTTGAACTGTGTACTGTTCCCTCAATGTCTTTGTCCAGTCCCAGACAGCACAGGTCTGATCGTTTTAGCGTTGTGTTATATGCAGTTGCCAATGGCTCGTCTTTGCACTTTTCGACATCCAAAGCATTGTTTAGCTAACATTCAGATAAAGATACATAAATGCTCAGGCTGATGAACAGTATTTTGTAACGATAAAATCCCTAAAATTAAATTACCAACTGCTGTTGCCCCTCATTTGGCATGGTTCCCCAAAATGTTTTGCTTGCTTTAACTACGTTCAGGCTTGTTACCACAGGATTTGGACAACATTTAGGGTCACACTGCGACTGGACAGCTGTACATAAGTAAAAGATACAAACAAATCACTTAAATTTAAGCAAAAATCACATAAAATTCAATGAGTTAAAAAACAACTTTAACCTTTATGCATTTCTTTCTCATTCAGAGTTGTATTCAAAGTTTGGGTTGTCTTTGAAAAATGTGGTCCCACATTTGGTTCTGCTCCTATGCATGTGTTATAAAGATATAGTTAGTACAATTAATAGAATGGAATGTCCTACTCACATGCAGCACATTAATAGAATATTTAAACATTAATTGCATGTTTTTGTGTAATTGCAGAATGGGCACTCACTAGTGCAGTTTTTGAAATACTGCTCACATTCCCCCTTGCTTAACACAGTTTTGTGCATTTTTGCAAGGGGAAATGGCTCTTAAAAGAGCCTTTGAGTTATAAAGTGAAGAACAACAAAAAAAGAGGAGAGAGATGGAGGGGTGGGGATGACAATGACAAGGATCTGCAAAAAGAAGGAAATACAGAGAATCAGTATTAGCATAAAATGTTTTATTTTTTTTAATGACAATATAATTTTGTATAGCTATTGTTAATATTAACTTGTCCTATATTATTTCTGCTGGTTCAGTTTTGCCACTGTATTTCTTTTTAAGGGGCTTATTTTGGGAACACTATATCCTAATCATAATCCCACCAAAACCACACACACTAACGTTTCTAATGCTGCCTTTACGTGCTCTCGGAATTATCGTAAATACGAATTTCCTAGGTAAACATTGCACATGAACGCCCTCCCATTTCGAAACTTTAATGCGATTAGCTCGTAATCACAACTTCAGAAGTGAGAATTATCAAATTTCCGATAGAACGTGAAGGCGGCATTAGGCCTACAATGCTTTTGGGAAACACAGCCCTGGTTATTTGCGTGACATGGTGGAGTGAGTAAAATTACACGATTTTATTTTTAAACTACTTCACATTTCCTTTTAACAACACACTAAACGCCACTTTAGAATTAAAAATTGTAATTAAACAAATTAGACAAGAGATGTAGCTTGCCTGTACTCACCATGCAGCGAAGAACAGCAGAAATGAAAACCCGCTAGAATCGACGTCATGACTTGACGCCACTAACCAATGAGAACACTTGTAGGCGGGACAAGACGTGGAGCCCCGCCTCGATCTACGTCATTACTTTGCCACTAACCAATGAGAAGCGTTGTGGGTGGGGTGACACGTGCAGCCCCGCCCCAGGTGCAGCCCCGCCTCAATCTGCAGGCTGCAGCCGGGTGCTTCTCTGCCTCCTCAACTTTAGGCCATAGACGAACATGAGCCTCCCTGTTGTCCTTACAGAAATCCTCTCTAAAGCAGATTTTTCTCTCCATGCAGACCGGTGGATTTTTCGACATCCTCCAAACCATGTCATGTACAATTCTCATGCCAAATTGAATGATCTTCTTGAATGAAGGTCTTGCGCCCTTCACTTTTTTGCCAAGGCGATGAACTGTGTCCACAGTATTCTGCAGTTGTTCAGGAGAGTGAGGGACGATCTGTGACAGAATATCAATCACGACACTTCTGGCATCCTCATCTTCTCTTTCTGGAACCCCATTTAGCCTCAAACACCATCTGCGTTTGTATCGGTCATGTTCCACGCATTTCTGTTTCAACAGATCATTGTAACTGAGTTACCTGTTATTTCAAATTATCCACATCCTCCTTAACGCCTTTCAGCGCCATCGTATCGGCATCCAGAGACTCAGAAATTTTGACAATTGCATCAGTGTTCTCTTTCAGTTGGAATTCAAAGGCATGAATGTATTCCGAATTTTTAGGTCAAACTTACGACTGAGACTTTGGATGGCGGCGTACAGAACGCTAGTGGAAATCTCATCCTTTTCCTGTACTGCTTTCAGTGGGAGGCATTGTCTTCTGTCGAACATCTTTATCAGACGACACTTCAATCTCCATCGTATCAATGGTTTCCTCTCCTGCTTCCCCTGAAGCTATTCCAACATAGGCATGTTCTCCAGTTTTCCCGGCCATAACACTTCAGCAAGTGCAGCATAAAAAGTAAAGTGAATAGTCTTGTAAAAGCAAAAATTCACACGAATGTAGTAACAAAAAACATTAAAGCAAATAAATAATTATAAATGCAATAACCGTAGACCAGGAATAGACGGCCTTTTACACAATTATATCAGAGCATGTGAAAAGTTCAACTTGTCACTCCGCCATCTTGACACGCCCCCCCAACCAAGCTTTGCTTTGACTGTCAATCACCGGCGTTGTTTATTTTTATCTGAATCACTGCGTTTCAATATTTTAGTGAAATGTTAAATCGTAATTTTAGCAGCTCCTGAAATGGGTCATGCCATTGATATTACCAGAGCACTCAGCAGTTTAAAGGGGTCAAATGACTAAAATGTGACTAAGTGTAACGGATGGGGAAGAACACACTCACACACAGGGTTTCTTCTCTTAACTTTTATAAAGAATATCTCTTTAGATTTGAGACTTTAGTCTTTGCAACTTTACAGATCTTCTTTATGCACTAAGAGCTTGTAACACTCCAAAGAGAAAGGAAAAATTTAAATTGCATCGTATGACCCCTTTAAGTAAATAGAAACTCGGTTGATAGGAGGACGCAGTTGCATGGATGGAGGAAGATCAATGTAAGTGTCTAAAATGCATGCACACAGTTCAGATGAATGGTAAAAAAATCGCCCTCTTTAACAGTGCAGTTTAACGAAACTAAAATAACAAACATTAACAACAACATTGACATCCCATACGTTTTAATGGGCGCGCGTGTTGAACATTCCAGTCGCATTAAACTGGAGCGGAGGGAGTTACCATGGAAACGGGGCGTCAACTCAGCTGACAAGTAGCGAAACTCCATCTCCCAGTGTTGTTTTCACTGCTTTCAGGTAAGTTAGTCACTAAAATCACCGAAATAATACATACAACTCTTCCTGACACTTTCTTACATGTAACTGACACGTTTCTGTTCAATATTTACTTGATACCAGTTTACAGAAATGGTTTAGTGTCTTCGGGAAAAGACCGTTAGCATCACAACCGTTAACTAACTATAAAGGCTAACTATAAGAGGTGTTCATCATGCTCATCTGATGTTCGCTACTGTTATGAATAAGATATGTAACTTTAATACACAAGGGAAATTCCCAATATTAAACAAATAACCAAATTTACATGCATAGGACATTTGCGTTCTAAGAATGTACAGGAATACTTCAGATATAAAAACGCTGACCCATTATGTGATGTTTTCTCATTAAAATGGTACGATTTACTGTTAATTCAATAGAATATATGGGAGCACTAGGGAATAAGAATATGGCGGTGCAGTGGCTTCACTTCTTTATCATCGGGAGTAATCCAGTTCTCTGTTATAGATTAGTGGTGTAAATTTATAATGGATTACTATGGTCACATGGACTTAATGGACACGCACGCGGTGACCATAAAGTCCTCAAGACACATCAGATTTTATTTAAAATATCACTTTACCTCAAACATCTCGTTTTTATAATCCTTGGAAGTCAAACTCAATCGAAAATAAAATTAGATTAAGCAGACCTAAAGCAGAAGAGAGATCTCACTTCTGGATTGCAAAATAACAAAAACACATCAGTGATGAATGTTTCGGTATTATCTCATGTAGAAACATTTGGCAATATACAGTTAGCTTGATAATATTCATGCACCAATAATAAATTGTAAGTGTGTTTTTTAAATATACCCAGCACCAAAAGTAGAACAGTTAACATTAGAGCTTATCGATTTTGTAATTTAGCCCCAGGGCTCGTTTAATACCGGGTTTAGGTATCCATTCCTACTTACAAGAGAAGCAAAGAAGGATCAATTACAAAGCTACATGACAGTATATCTTGCATCTGCGTTTCCAAAATACATCTTAAGCAGAAGAATAACTCAATCATTTTAAAAACAACAAAGAACAATTTTAAAAATAAATCTCAGTCTCTCTTAAAGTGTTACAGTCTCTTCTTCAGCTTCCTGAACAAGAACAGTTTGTAAAAAGCTTCTACTTTCCTCCATAAAAGAGTAAGCAAACTACAAGTGACACATGCATATAACACAATTGAACATAATATGAAACTCATAAGAAAACAATGATATCATTTATATCATGAAGCAAAATGATACGCAATAATGAAACATTTTGACATTGTTCTTTGGGGAGGAACTCCATCTTTGAGTTGAACTGAATCTCACAGTTGAATCTGCTGGTTTTGAAGATGAAGAGAAACTTTATTCACTGTGAAAACTTTAGATAATGTTTCTTTGTCATATCACTTGTAATGACTTGTTAGAACAGATTAATCCAGATGATATTCTATTGCTTAATGCATTATTGTTTCAAGTTTGGTGAGAAGGCAGCATCAGATCTAAAAGTGCTGGATCTGAAGATGATCTAGTTACTGTGATTGTTTTTTGTATGACTGTGTAGAGCAGATGAATGACTGAAACACTTCCCACATGCAGTGCAGTGATACGGCTTCTCTCCAGTGTGGATCCTCTCATGTGTTTTCAGACTTGATGAATGACTGAATCTCTTGTTGCAGTGTGAACACGTATAAGGTTTCACTCCTGTGTGGATCCTCTCATGTGTTTTCAGACTTGATGAACGACTGAATCTCTTGTTGCATTGTGAACACGTATAAGGTTTCACTCCAATGTGGATCCTCTCATGTTTTTTCAGGCCTCCTGACCTATTGAATCCCTTGTCACAGTGTGAACACTTATAAGGTTTCTCTCCAGTGTGGATGCTCATGTGTTCTTTAACATGTACTGATTGTGTGAAACTCTTCCCGCACTGATCACAAGTGTATGGTTTCTCTCCAGTGTGAACTCTCATGTGACCATCAAGACTATATTTGCATTTCAAACTCTTTCCACAAAGATTACAGGAGTACAGTTTCTCTCCTGTATGAACTCTCATATGTGTCATAAGGCA